ACGGCATTTGAACTTCGGACCCAGTGCAATCCAGTTGAATTTTGTGCTTCGCCTCTTTCAAAACCCCCTCTTCCTTGCACGGCCAATGCGGCTACAGGATACGCTGCTTGCAACTTTTGACAAGAAGGCACTGATGGGCCATTTTATGTCGAAGAGTCTCTAGCCCACCAAGCTAGAGAGGATTTACTGCAATACATCTGCAACCTCGATCTAAGTGCCTGCTTCAACCAGGGAGATAGAAGTCAACTTCAACGAGCAGCTGGTCCCATGTGGTCACCGCCAAATTATAGCTACTGATGCAGGAACCCGGCATCTGATATGACATTTCGTACAGATAAGCAATGATCATGAGGCCTGAAGCAACAAATCTGAGAGGAAATAAATGTGAGTTTCTATTCATGTAATCTCCTCTCTTGCTGCATGATTTCGTTCTAGAGCAATACATTAACTTTCGTATCATTTCTACTGATTTTATTTGTTGACTTCTTTATATTCGATGCTCAGATTTCGTGGCACTGCAACATTGAGGATGACCCCAAAAGTTCCTCCACACCCTTAGGACCGGCGAAACTTTGTACCCTTGAAACACATGCATTTTCGTAGCGCTGAACTAATTTGACAATCCTTCCTTTCAGATATACTATGAATGGCAGATATCAATGATGTCATTGGTCTGAACAAACATCAATGAGCTTCTTACTCCTGAATCAAGAACTGGGTCTCCTTTTCTACTTGTGTCACTCATACCCCACACAGGAAGAGGCCGTTTTCTGGCTTCTCTTTCCTTCATGGAGGTTTTAAAATGACGCGAGTCTGATTTAGCATTGGGCCATATTGACGCCATGCGACTATTCATGGACCACAGTAGTGCGTGCGTGCTCTCAGGCTTTAGCGCTGCGCCTCTCAAAGCTCATTTGGAAAGACCACATGCACAACCCCATTGATGTTTGTCAATGAATGCACACTACATCCCTCCTTTCCTGGCGATATAAAAGCAGGATCAATTCAAAGGTTGTAACCATCACCTCCCACCTACCCGACTTCAAACATCTTATCGAATACTTGCAGATATGTCTTTTCCAGGTGGCCTCTATATTCTCAGAGCCTCTCCTGCTGCCGGAATCGGTGGTTTGTATGCCACTGGAAACAGTGTTGATGCCGTTGTGACCGTCGCGCCACAGTTGCCACCGTTCATTGAGCGTCAGGTCATAAGTATCATGCATTTACATACGTTCCAGATGGTCAAACCGACTAATGTCTTTTTGCCAATATTATTTAGTGGAATATCCGACCCGTCTTTGGCAAGGAAGGCGGATACTACAACATCAGTCTCCACAGTGATGGAAGTGCTTTTGGAGGAGATTGGTTCCCAGAGGACGGAAAACCAATTCCTGAGCGCCCCGTCATTACTTCAGAAAAGTCTTACGAATGGTAGATTGCATATAAGAAAATTCCGGACGTTCCTCACACCATCACGTACGTTTCGATGATATATCAACATTTCCTTGCAACGTGCCTCACCATCAACTCTTACTCTTCAGCATTCAAGCACCTAATCCCCGTGTCGGCGTGGACTTTTATGCTGGAACTAATGATAAAGAACACGTGAGCAGCTTACACTCTCTGATTATCTGCTTTGGCTGATTATTTTTTTTGCTATCACCAGGTTGTCATCATACCTGTTCCCGTCATTCCAGATGCAGAGGCACCTTACTGGCAATTCAAGCCCCACCTTGTAAGTTAAGAAGCGCTGAGATTTGTAGTAGATTTCTGGAGGAATTATAAAGTTAGCGAGATTTTGTGCAGAGTCATGTTGTGCTTATGTGTAGAATCAACTTCCAATGCAATCATCATTTTTCGTGTGCAGTATTGAACGACACATATGATAAACGGTGAGATTTTTTACCATGCCTAGCCGTTTGTCGAAATTTGTGGCAATTTCCCTATTAGTAGTTCACACTCTTCCCACCGTTCCCCACTCTTTGCGCGACCAACCATGCTCTGGTAAACCAATAATGCACTGGCTCTCAAATAAAATAGCCCCAACGCAGCACAGATGACTGCGCGGTCCGTGAAGTTGGCGCAGTGGCTTCTGCGTACTATCCCATTCTACCCTAGCTATCAATTGAGCAAGTCATGACCCTGAGGATCCAATGCGAAAATCATATGAAACCTATACATATGAATATATAAGACGTGCGCCCTC